ACCAAGTACTCCGTTAAATCACGGCCAGCAAGGTCCAACCGAAGAATTGCATGAGGAAGAGCATACCCTTCATAAATGGGCACCGTGTGGCTCACACCATCACCAGAATCAAGCACAATACCTACATATAGAACCAAAAATACCAACATTACAACACAAAGTAAGCAAGGAAGCATGTTTTAAGCTAATGACAAGGAACGAGTATAGATGTGCATGTATATCCCACCCTTGCACTGTTGTACATAAGGAATTATGCCTGGTGCATAAAATTCAACTAAGCTAAAGTATAAACGAAACCATTTTATGTTGAACTTCAACCAGCTCCCCAAGGTATCAAGTTATTGGCCACATTTCATCTTGGAGACTGTTGCCTCATATTCATCATATCAGCTTACAACATTTACCACATTTTAAATTGACCAAAACCAATAGAAGTCACATGATCATAAAATAGTAAAAGTCAACTACAGAAACAAACCTGTAGTACGTCCACTCGCATATAGAGACAAGACAGCCTGAATTGCAACATACATAGCAGGTACGTTGAAAGTCTCAAACATAATTTGGGTCATCTTCTCTCTGTTGGCCTTGGGATTAAGTGGCGCCTCAGTAAGAAGTACAGGGTGTTCTTCAGGAGCAACACGAAGCTCGTTGTAGAAAGTGTGATGCCAAATCTTTTCCATATCGTCCCAGTTGCTGACTATACCATGCTCTATTGGGTACTTCAAGGTGAGAATACCCCTCTTTGACTGGGCTTCATCACCAACATAAGCATCCTTCTGACCCATCCCAACCATTACACCAGTATGACGAGGTCGCCCAATAATACTGGGGAACACAGCCCTAGGAGCATCATCACCAGCAAAACCAGCCTGCAAACACCAAGAAAAATATAAATCAACATTTGCACCAGAACCACTACTATAAAAGCCAAAAGACATAATAACAACTCAGACTAGCCAATTGCTAAGAAAAAAAAACAGTGTGGCATAGCACACGTAACACACATAACATGATAAAGCAAATCATATAAAAAATTCAACTAACCTTGACCATTCCAGTTCCATTGTCAACAACAAGAGGTTGAATGTCCTCAGCGTCAGCCATTTTCTAGAACATGCGTAACAGAAAGGGAAGGAAAAGTTGTTAAGGAGATCATAATAAAACCAAGTAAAATAATTTGCAAGGACGAAAAGTTGCCAGGGACATGAACTAATTCTCAAACGAAACCTCTTTAAATTACTTCCCAGTTACTACTATGTAGCCGTATTTTACATTTCATCCAAACAAGTAATTGTGGCATTTTATGTAATTGCAATGCTAAACATCATCATACAACAACAACAACCAAGCCTTTATCATACTCAGAGATTATAATATTTGTGTAATGGTTTTCATTACTTGTCAATTAGACAATCAATCAATTAGTATGTAGCACAAACACAGTTTTATTTTACAATCAAACAAGTAATTACAGCAATTTATGTAATTCCAACGAAAACATCACTATTCTCAATAGATCAGAAACATGCATAGAACAGCATATGCAACAAAAATCATAAAATCAAAAGGCAAAGGCACAAATAAAATTAACAAAATAATTGAAATCAAACCCCATGTACGAGAAACAATTCACAATAAAATCAAGTCAGAATCGAAATCTAGACACAGAAAACTAGCAGGTACAAAGTAGATCTAGATCAGAAAGAGCAACTAAAGATCGAAAAATATTCGATCCAGGAATCGTAACAAAAGTTAGCAGATCCAGAAACAAAATTAAAACGAAAATTCAGCAAGAGAAAACATAAGAAAAACGATAATCAAAACGCACCTAGTTTGAACAGAAGGGAATTTGAAAGAGGAAGTGGATTTGAAGTTGAGGAGCAGCAGAAGAAGGAACAATAAGTGATGTAAGTGTTTGTGAAGAAGTTTTTATATTAAATGAAAAGAAAAAAAAGCTAAATGACAGTGAAATGAAACTCAAATGCAAATGAAATATTTTCGCCTATTCGGGTGCGTTTGGTTGTAATGGAAACGCTATCCCGAGATATGCGAGAATAGTGTCTGAGAAGGAAAGTTGACTCAATGGAAACCAAACAGGGAATAGAAAAACAACCAAATCTGACTTGGCTGATTTGGAATCCACAAACCGTCCTGCTCGAACTTGGTTGGCAAAATCATTACCTACTTCAAAAATATGTTATTTTTATTAAACAATTATTTAATATGATTTGTTGATTACTTTATGAGTTGGAATTAGTTGATTAATTTAAAATATTTAATAAAATTGACTCATAAAATAATTGACTTGACTAAAATCATATAACCCCTCTTTCCACCGGCCTCATTTATAATAATTTTTTAATTAATTTCATACATGTTAAGAAAATTAATTAGGAGAGAAATGAATTGTTTTGATTTAATATGAGAAAGATCTTGTATATGAAAAAATATTTCAATTATTTAGCATGAGAAATTATTTCAATTAAAAAGAATATTTAAATTGTAAAAATAATTAAATTTGTTTATATTTGAGATAAAAAAGCATGTTAATATTTTTTTCTTATAATTGATAACAAAATAAGTGCCTTGTAATTTTATAAGCTATTTCAACACTTTATCACATTTGAGTTTTAAAATTATAATTTATTTAAATAAAGATAATTACGAAATACCATTATTAAAAGTCCATATTTCTTTATTTTGTATATGAGACAAACGCTTTTGAGTTGTATAAATGACCATTTGAATCTTCTGCAGCAAGACCAACACACACATGGTTTATTTTTATCAAATAAGTTACATGGTTGCCTATGCCATTTTATATGTTGACACGTTATTGAATAATTTGTTGAGTTATAAGTTTATACATGATAGAATAGAAGGAATATCTTATAATGCAAATGTTTATATCATTTTATACGTACCAATATATAATCTATTCTCTCAACTTTAACTTTATTAACTGTTATCAATATTATTAATATTGTATTAATTATCTAGACAAAATATTAATATAGTAATATAATAATTCAATTGTTAAATTGTATACATGTTAAATTTGATATACAAATATATTATATTGAATTTGATATACAAATATATTACATTGACATTAATATTAAAAACTATATATGATATATATTAACATTAATATTAATTTTGATATACATGTATGTTGAAAATTTATCTATAATATTTACTAAAATAAAATATATCCCTTAATTATAGATCATATTTTAGAACTACAATAAATATAGTGGATAGGTGTTTAATCTTCATTTAAGTTAAAAAAATCAAGCCTAGCTTGACTACCGCTTAAAAAATTGATATGTGGTGTGTGTATTGCCACGTCACCACGGTCGGCTGTGATGGTTTGTGGACCCTACTTGTGCCGACCAATTCTTCAAAGTTTTGCTGTGGCCATGTTAGCCTCTATCAACCGATGTATCCAACTATCCATGATTCAATGTTCTCATACAATTATTCAAACCAAAATTAATATTAAACAAATGAGAAATAATGTAACCAATAATGTTAGAATAATCATTTATAATTATTTAATTATTATTAACTATTATTTATATATATATATAATATAATTATGAATGATACATGTTATATTAATTATGTTTTAAAGTTTACACCAATAATACAAAATATAAGTTATAACCTCAATGATAACTTACGGGTTAAGGTAGAAAGAAAAAGGAAAGAAATAATGAAGGTTTGAATAGAATGATAGTGAGTTTAAGATGAATTCAAGTATTGTATTACCCGGATTCGCATTGTTGTTTCATTTTTTGATAATCAACAGGAGAAAAAATTAATAAAACTTAATTTAAAATTCTTTAGAAAAAATTACTTTAAAAAATTACTTAAAGTAATAATTGCAAAAATTACTTGTTTAAAACTAGTATTTGTGTAATTGTTTCATACTTCAACATTAGGATGAATAATTCATTTAATAGGAACTCTTCAATTAACATAACATTATAATATCATACATATGAATTAACAATATAATATCATTGTTTAACAACATAACATCACAGTTAAACAACATAACAATCACATTTATGAATTAATAAGATATTTATAATTATTGATTAATATGTTATTAAAATGTAGATTAATATGATATTACAATTATGTTGTTATATATATATATTTATAAAGAAATAACGAGTTCAGGTACTCACGGGATGAAAATATCAATTATCCACATGTCCAAAACATAGTCCTGTACTCAACCTATTTGGTTATTATTTGTGGGTACACGTGAATTCGGGTAACCATTACCAATCCATATGTTTGAACATAAAAAATATTTTTATTTCTATTTTGTTGGGTTTAGTTTTTAGTTTTTTGAGTGAGTCATGTAATATTATAAATAATCTTTAAAGCTAGTTTGTAAAAGTTATAGAATATATGTTGCAAACTATTCTTAATTTTGATCCTTAATAGTTCTCCTAATTCACTCGTTGAGTTATTATACAAAAAAATACAATAAAAATCATAGTAAATATTTATTTTGATATTTATATATTTTCATCTATATTAGTTTGATTCTTGAAAATATAAAAATCAAAATAATACTAAAAGAATTGTGAATGTGATTTAAAATAATATCTAAATGTTGAACTAACTTAAATACATCTTATAAAATTTTAATTAATTTTCTTGTGATATAATCTTGAGGAAATAAATATTGTTTTTTTAAGAAGTAGTATAAACATTTTACACCATTAAATTTGAGGTTTGATTGATAATGAATGAGGATCATCTCCAATAAATCAATACTAGAAAGTTGTTATTTTTGATTTACTTTTCAAAGTAAAAAGAATGAGAAAATGAGAAGGGGAAGTGGAGGAAGACATTTTGTGGTTGTGACAAAAGAAGAAAGAAAGGTAAGACTAAGACTAGCTTGAAGCCCATTTCAAAAGGTCCAAATCCTAATTTCATCAAAATATTTTTACACTTCTAATCCAATAGGAAAGTTAATTTGACCCATTCATAAATGGTTGAACCGAAGTACACAATCTGCACCTGCAAGCATAACTTATTTTCTTCGTCACATCTCTACAATGTAACTTTCTCATTCTCTTACATATTTCTCCCATCTGTTCTTATTATATTTCTTTTAACTCCAAACACACGTTCATCATTATTTCAAATCTAGGGTTTTCAAATATTTCATCATTATTTTTTATTAAAACACACGATCATGCGATTATCATTTGTAAAATAGCCTTTATTTATACAGAAATAGTTGTGATTCGAAATTTATGCTATACTTTAATTTTCTTTCTACCGGCCACCTTGAAATTGTTAAGCTCAGATAATGGGAGTTTTTTTTAGTTCCACGCTTTTGGATTGTGGAGCCTTTGGAAGAGCTTATGAAAATATTATATATCATATTTGTAAGATTTTTATAACTTATTATCGGGAATTTAAATTGAATAAGTGTTTGGTTAAGTAGTTTATGCAAACGAGCTCTTAATCAAGAATTATGAATGATATCAGCGGTGCTCTTGAGATGCATATTAGTAACTGATGCCATTCCTTGTTACTTAAGTGACTGTCTGTTATTTGGATTTTGTGTGAGAATGATTGCTCATGTTTTGATTTACACACTGAAACATAATTTCAGAGCCACAGATTTCTTCACTTGCTTGACTTTTCTTTATTTGCTATACCCGTTGCATATGCTTCATGTATATTTTACTTAAATGTTTGAACACGTTTGCCGCACAATTGTAATTTGCCTCATTAATATTTGTGGTGTCACAAGTATAATATGCCTAGTTAAGGGCCCAGCGCACGAGGCTCCCACTTAGTGGGATCTGGGGAGGATAGATGTATGCAACCTTACCCCATACGCGAAGAGGCTATTATCGGGCTTTGAACCCGTGATCTTCATTGTCACTAAGCAACAACCTTACCATTGCGCCAAACTCACCCTCTATAATATGCCTGGTTATGAAAAAGTAATGATATATATTGAAAATTGATTGTTTTGGTTTTTTTGGCCTATATGATTCTGACATTATTTTTTATTATTTTCTTTTGTATTTTTATGGCATTTTTATTCACTCCTATTTATCTTTGGATTTTGTTATGAATATAGGGCTGATGAGGAACCCGTTGATCAGAAGAAATACCTTGAAGAGTCATGCAAACCAAAATGTGTAAAACCATTACTTGAATATCAGGTGTGCTTTTCTCATTTGTAAACCTATAATCTTGGAAGTTTGATAATTTAAATATGAGCTCTATTCTTAATGTAAGTCATCAATACAAGATTCTTTTATTGCATATATTTTAAAATCGATAGAAGATGGGTGAAAATTGACTTTTTTCTCCTTTAGTTAAAGTTAAACACTATAGTTGGATTTTATCGCTATTTGTCAATCATGTTGTCCATATAACGATGAGTGTATATGAAGAAGCATGAAGGTGGTACTGACATGATGAGAACTATAAGAAATGCAATGTAGCAAAGAAAGTCGTGAAGGAGGTTCTGGGTGTCTTTAGCCAAAGGTCTTGGTAATTTGTATATGATCTTATAATCAAAATTTCATAAATGATTAAACTGGATTTTATACTGAACTATAACATGATATCCAGGTGCTTTTCCTTTATTCTGATGTGTTTTGCTCTTTACTTCTATTCTATGGAGAATTTAGCATGTACACTTTTGTTGGGGTCTTGGGGATTTTGGGATTAGTCTTCAAGTAAGGAAAGCATAAATTTGCTGATTGATAGACTTCTGACAGTAATTAAGTATTTGCTGGTCTCTTTTAGAGAGTTGGCATTAATTGAACCTCATACTGGATATTTCTTGATGTATCAACAAGTTTTAAAGAAGCAAGACTTCAAACTTACATCTGTGGGATCGTGTGATTAGGGTGGAGATCTTAGGTTCAATTTCATGTTCAGTAAAAAAGATTGCGGTATTGTGAGCTTCCTTTTATAACCCCTTTCATCTCCTTTTAATTGACAAAAGTAACACACTCATATCATTTGTAGGCACCTTTGGTTTTATTTTTTGTCATTCGAAGAAAAGTTTAGGGTGAAAGGAGGTTTTCTTAATTTCAAGGTCTGGGTGACTAACCTGAGCAAAGATTTACAATGGGAATACAGATTGCCTGGTTACAGGAGATTCCTGGATTCAAACACATGTTATGCAGTTCTGAGTAGCGGAAGGTCAACCAAGTGACCCTCGTTGGTCATGGGCATGCACCTTAGACACTAAATTGTAGTAATAATGAAAATACCTTAGATTACAGTGTATGATAGTATTAATAAACAATAAATTTAGGAGTTAGGACTAAAGAATCATTAGCTATTTTTTTTCTTTCTGCCTTATTTTTCTTTTTCTTGTAAAGAACATTTTGCATTGCAAATAAAAGTAATTTTTAAAATTGCTACAGGCATGTGTTAAAAGGATCCAAGGCGATGAATCTGGTCACAAACATTGCACTGGACAGTATTTTGATTATTGGTCTTGTGTTGACAAATGTGTAAGTGTTACTGTTAGTAAATATTGATTGAATCATTTGGTTTGCTTTTGTGTTATCTGATAAGTCATATTCCTGCAATGCAGGTTGCGCCAAGGCTACTCCCCAAACTGAAGTGATGGTGGGATAATTTTATGGTATATTATCATTATGTTTGTTCTATTTTCAGTCCCAAAATACTGCTCCCAAACGTTTGATTTTGTAATCAAACCTTATGTTCTTTACTGTGAAATGTTTGGGCCCTTGATGGCCTCTGGTTCTGATTAATAAGATGTTTATGCCAGATTGTAACTTTGAGATTTAGAAGATGTATTCTGGCATGGATCCAACATTTTTAATGTCTTTGAGTTTGGAATATTAAGATGTTTATTTTTATCATTTTGAAGATGCTTTTTTATGAATATATTAATTCTATTGAAGAAAGAAATCATTTATAAAAAGGAAATTACACTGACATCAACTTAGTTTTAATAAAATTATACAAACTACTCTCCATTTTTTACAAACCTCATAATTTATTTATATGCGTATGTTATACCGACTAACCTTCTATGAGAAATAAATGTGATTTAAAAAAAAATGATAACTGTAACCAAGTTATGATATATTGTGGTTGTATAAATCACTTCCATGAACGAAAAACGATGAGAATTTATTGACTTGTATCTTATTTGGATTTGTGTTGGTAATATACCACATTTGTTTAATTTAATTACAATTATCATAATTCTTTGTTTAAAATATCACATTTATTTCTTATGCAAGAGTAAAAGTTTTTTGTAGGTATAAAAATGAGAAATGATTTGTGTAATTTTACTAAAACTGTAGTTAATTTACTCTTTTTCAAAAGGTTTGTGTGGAGGGTCAAACATACAAACATTATCATACTTCTAAAACATGTTCTAACAAAGAGTCATACATTTTGTTTTTACAAATGATACAAGTAAAAATATTTATCAATTTCTTTATTAATTTTTAAACATTGATATTAGTATTATATATATACAGTTTTGCCGATATCTAATTTAATTAATAAATCATTAGTTGAACCACTATACCATTATATCACTAATTTAACTAATTTGGTGAATGCTACCATATTAATAAGAATGAGTTGCAGTACTAAATTTGACTCCATTTTTATAGATACTGACACTGTATTACCAAAATAAAAAAGGATAGATAAACAATCTGATTACTGTGTATTAGTTGACTGAAATGGTATTTTGTATTTAAGATCCACTATGAAGACTTGTAAAAGGTTTATGGGAGAATATAATTAAGAATTACTTATACTCATTGACAGCAATATTCTAATTCAGAATATATTAGGGTGCCCTTTGTAGCAGAGATAGCTACACAATTTGTCTCTTTTATATTTTTATAACCATGAAAGGTCGAAAATATATATTTTCTAAAACCATATTTTTGTATGAGGCTATTAAAATACTGTTTTGAATTGATCAGGCAAAGGCAGAAACAATCTTTGAATAATACATGATGTAACCCCATAATGAATCATTGTTTAAATCTCAAATTGGCCTCTCCTTAAAATAAATGGCTACAATCTCAAGTACTTCATTCACTTAAGCCTTGTTTGATATTCTCTCACTCTCCTATGGCTGTTGTTGAGCCATGCAGTTTGGTTCCAAACCAACATGATAAAAAACAAACCCAACAAGATAATAGCAACAAGAATGTTATTGACTACTCACAAAGGGCACAATGGCTTCGTGCTGCTGTAATGGGAGCCAATGATGGGTTGGTTTCTATTGCATCATTAATGATGGGAGTTGGTGCTGTTAGAAGAGATGTAAAACCAATGTTGCTTGCTGGTTTTGCAGGATCAGTTGCAGGGGCAAGTAGTATGGCAATAGGTGAGTTTGTATCTGTGTATACTCAATATGAAGTTGAGGTTGCTCAAAGGAAGAGAGATATGAATGAAAAAGATGTGGAATTTGGAGGGTTAGAGAACAAAAGGGCTTTGCCTAATCCATTACAAGCTGCTTTTGCATCTGCATTTTCATTTGTTGTAGGTGCAATATTTCCTTTACTTGCAGCTGCATTTGTTATAGATTATAAAATAAGGCTTATAGTGGTTGTGTTTGTAGCCAGTTTAGCCTTGGTGGTGTTTGGATGGGTAGGGGCTTTGTTGGGAAAGACACCTAAGATAAGGTCTTGTGCTAGGGTCCTTGTTGGAGGCTGGATGGCTATGCTTCTCACTTTTGGGCTAACCAAATTGTTGGGTTCTAGTGGTTTGGAATTATAAATCTTGGAGGCTCTTGTTGTTGTTGTTGTTTTCAATGTAAAAGTATTACTCCTTTATATGCTTATTCAATAAGGTCATTTCATATGAGAACTTCATCAATTATATATGTATTCAATTTGTTATGTTTCCTTTCTATGTTTTTTTCTTTTAAGAAAGACAAGTTGGAGATTATTGGTGAATAATTGACAATGAAAAATAATACGCTTTAAGGATTCATTGTATGCACCCTTAGTGTAAAACAATCAATAGTGGAATTATATTTTCATATGCAGAGGAGAACAAACATTTCTTTATATGTTTATTTTTTTTGGTCGGCTTCTTTATATGTTTATTGAGTAAGGTTATTTCATATGAGAACTATCTCTTCTCAAATTTCTTTGTTTATATGCTATTTTTCCCTTAAAAAAAGTGATGTTGAAGATTATTGGCTAACTGATTATTAGTGACTATTTTACAATGAAAAATGATATATTAATTGCAATAAAATATGTATTTACTAGTTAGATTTTGTAATTTGCCCTTTATTGTGTTAGTGATTTAATTTATGAAAATATAAGTTAACTATTATAGAGTTGAAAGAGGTTAATAATAATCTTGTAAAGAAATAGAAAGAAAAATAGTCATAACTTCCCTTCTAAAACTATAGGGGTAAGAATCTCACATTATGATCTCCATTCTATGTGAAGGCATATATAAATAAATAAGGTGAGAGAAAAGTTATTATCATCTAATATTTAATATAAATTATTGGATGTTAGTTAAGATACAAAAATAAAAATAAATGTATAAGTGTTTATATATGATAATTAACTAATAGTATGAACCAAATTTGTTCTTTCCCAGGGAATTATTTTCAATCGAGTCTTAATATATTATATATACATATATATCAACTTTTTATGTCTTGATCTTTGGAAAGTTCAAAAGAATGTAAAATATAATAATAACTTACTAGTTGCTTCAGGTTTCAAATTTAGAAGGTGATCAAGCTATGTAACTAATTAATAACTTACTAGCTGCTTAGCACAGTTAAATTGTTTCAAAGCAATAATATTCTTGCAGACATTGTCATAACTCTTAAATATTTAGAAAAAAACATTGACACAATAATGAACTCGGTTGAATATCAATTACTTCACTATTTCAACTACATATGATGGAGACCGCTTCTCTGTGGTAATTGATATGTTTATTCGACTTTTACATCATAGTCATACCACAATAAAGTTGATAATGTTTAAAATGTAACCGATGCAATAAAGTTGGTGAGGCCAAACGTTATGGTCATAGCCATCCAACCTCTAATTAACATTCTGAGACAAGAGTTGGTAAGTGTAGTTTTTCCAATCATTGCTCCAAAAACCAACAATGCTACACTAACCACAGCAGCAACAACAGTGAGCCTAATCTTATAGTCCCAGCTGCTAGCAACTAAGCCAGCAAGAAGCATGTTGTGGTGTTTTCCTTAACAGCTCCAACAGCCATCATAAGTGATGCAACTGAGACCAAACCATCATTGGCTCCTAACAGAAGGTATATATGAGAGTTGAATGACTACATCTAACCCAAACAACCCACATGAGTTTAGCCAAAAAATAGACAAGGAAAGATCTTCAATTGTGAAACAAGCCTTCTTTGAATGATACATGACTTAGCCATATATAATGAACATTCCAAATTCAACTATTTCTTTGCTTTATGAATCCAGAGTTTCAACTATCGATTATGAAACAATACAAATCATTTCTAACAGATCGATAAAAACACAACCACATTATATAATTTAATAAAATCTACCAGAAGGCATGACAACAGAATACATACAAATGTGTGGAAAGAAGCTTTATCTTTAACATTACCATTTAAGTAGAAACAAATAATTTTTTAAATACACCATCACAGATTAATTACTCAATTTGAGATTTTAAGGATAACCACAAATCCAACTTGCTTTCATAACAATCGTGCAGAGGTTAAGAAGGAGGCTGGTTAATTATTCAAATCATATATTACTGAGCTCAATCATATGGTAGAAGAGAAAGGAAAATGAGGAACAAAACTTGACGTTTGACTGGAGTATGCCACTCAATAGGATCTCACATGAAGGCAGGTAAAAAACTGAAGAGCAATCTCCAACCCAAAAGAGCAAAAGCGCATATAAAATTGATGGTTCGCATTTGCTCAACACATGAAGAGCTTCCAAACAAACGCAGTATAATCCAAAAAATATGACCCCCTTTGATCAAATGAATGACATGCATACTGAGTGCACTAACGGATGACTTTGTTGGAGCAGAAACTGGCAATACAGCAGCAAATATGTCATATATAACCCCTCATGCAAGAAAGTCACGAATCACAAGATACCCAGCACCAATTAACAATAGGATTGAGCACAACATCATATTTCACTGAAAGTCAAGCATTGATAAGATTTCAACAGACCATAAATATCAGCATTTAAGAACATAAAAGAGTTTGATATATGTGCCGAGTATTGTATGTCAAAGCACTATCGTTCATCCGTTCAAACAACAATCCCATAACAGAGTCACTGAAAAGAAAGTTGAGGTATTAACAGCAACCCCTCCAATTTGAAAGCTGCAAAAATCATAAAAAATCCATTAGAACCGTGAATACAATGAACCATAAGCAGAGCACAATGCATAATGCTTACCTTAAAGAAGCTAAATCATATCAACGATGGCCTCCAGATCCTCGACGCTCATAAGGTCCAGCCCGGTCACGGTCATATCGATCATTTCCAGAATCTCCATGACTATCAGCATCCCTGTGACGCCGACCAGAAGAACGATCTGCATTCCTATCAGGACCACCACTCCTGCCACCATATCTACTTTCCCTGTCACCATATCTACTTTCCCTGTCACCATATCTCCCCCCTCTTTCACCTTCACTTGGACACTCTCTAGCAAAATGACCAGGTTTACCACACTTAAAGCATTCACCACCATTAGATCCCCGGCCACCTCCATAATCATGATCACGACCCCGATCACGGCCACGTTCTCGGTGGCGATCACCATCATCTCTTGATCCTTGTTGAGGCTGAGCTCTATCAACAGTAATAGTTCGACCATCTAAATCCATTCCATTCATAGCATCTATAGCCTCCTCCATAGCTTTCTTGT